GTTGGGCGAATGCGTGGGATACGCTCCCACGCCCAAACCTAGACATATGGACGTATACATTTGTTACTAAATATTAGTCTCAATTATAATAAAAAATAATGAATTTCAAAGTAGAAGAAAAATAAACTTACCTGGATCAATTGCACACAGCTCTTGATCCATTGCGCTCCAGCCTCGTAGGCAGTGCACAACGCTCTATATACAGCTGCTAGGAGCGCTGAACCCCAGTTGTAGCCCTTAATCCCGTCTATGTCCTCCAGCAGCTGCAGCCAATAAAGATTCACGCCATTTCCCCACTGGTCGGGGAAGAAAAAGGAGCCAAGGCACCACAGGATAAGGGCCCTCGCCCTTTGCTCGTAGCGTATGGCCGGAAGTCCATCTCGCAGACCTTTGATGAATTCCTTTTCTAATCCCGAAATCTTCATAAACTGGCCTTTAATGGCCCAACCAGCGGGCTTGTAAGCCGCTTGCTCTTCCGGAGTGCTGGGGGGATCCTGACAGTGGTTTTTATATATATTAAAAACGATATAATTGAGTGGACATGCATTTAAAAAAAAAAAATAGGAAAAAATATACCTGGACATCGGGTCGAAACCCTAACAAGTTCTTGCACCTATCACGCCATTGTACCGGTGTTAGGTCTACCGTCACTCCTAAACAAGCAGCTCCATCGACCCGTAGACCGAATAGGACTTGTACATCCTGCAGAGTGATAGTTGCCTCCCCGAAATCGAAATGAAAGGTGTTCGTTTCCGGACGCCACCTTTCGAGCAGACCGGTAATGACGGCGTTGTAGGTTTGGACTCGGCCCATTCGAAACAAGGGCCCGAAATCGGTGCGATCGATCACCTCCCAAACCGACGGATGCTGCTTTGGCAAAGCCTTCCAGAACTGTAAGTCGTAGCGGCGGTTTGAAACCGTGTCGCTACGAGCTCCCAGTTGATTATTATAAACCGCCCATGCCCGGTGTTTGTAATGAAGATATAGAAATTTGGGATCCCTCGGTCCAGGGTGTACACCGTATCTCTGAGGCTGGGACGACGATGATGAATCTACGATTACAAAAAAATTATATGCACAATGAATTCCAATAAGAAATGAAATTGATGGATAAATTGTTACGGTGTAAAAAATAGACAATCAAATATAGCTTTCTGTACCCAAATGCATTTGTAACAGTGACAGTGAACTCATTCAGTAAATATGGACAATGCAGTAACAGTGAACTCATTCACAATTTTTATGAGTAATAAGCTGTACCCAAATGCATCTGTACCCAGTAACAGTGAACTCATTCACAATTTTTCTGAAAACATTCAACTGTTTTATGAGTAATAAGATGTACCCAAATGCATCTGTACCCAGTAACAGTGAACTCATTCACAATTGATGACAAACCGTCTTACAGTAAACTCATTCACTACTCATTCAGAGCAGTCTCATTTTTTTTGAGTAATTACAATGTAAAGTGATACAAATGCTTATATATAAAGTGATATATGATGACAAACCGAATCAAAACCTAATCTCAAATTCAAAAGCCTAACCCTAATTCAAACCGAATTTCAAATTTAAAACCTAATTCGAAACCCTAAATTTCTCATGTATTCATTTACCATATTTTCTACTTTTAGAAGAAATATTTACCTTGTAGACGGCGATGCGGCGCGACAGTGCGGCGGCGGTGGTTTATCCTCGGTACGGTACTCTCGCTCGCTCTCTTCTTTCTTTCGGGGGTGTACTCTCGCCTCTCTGTTATTCTGCTCGCGTAAGGAGGAAGAAGATTTTTTTTATTTATATTTAAACTAAAACCGTATTCAGCGAATACGGTTTACTTAAATTTTTTATAAGCCGTATTTGCAAAATACGTTTTAAATATAATTATAAACATAAACCGTGTTCTGTGAATACGTCTTATTTAGAAATATATTATATGTAGTAAGTATATATATTATATTAATTGTAGCATATACTATATACTATATAATATATAGTATATGATATATAACATATAGTACATTACATATTATATACTATATGTTATAATATATAACATATAGTATATGATATATAGTATATAGTATATAACATATAGTATATAGTATTTAACTTTTAGTGTTTAGGGTTTAGGGTTTAGGGTTTAGTTTGACTAATTCGAGTTCAATTGTACTAATTCGAGTTCAATTGTACTAATTCGAGTTCAATTTTACTAATTCGAGTTCAATTGTACTAATTCGAGTTCAATTTGACTAATTCGAGTTCAATTGTACTAATTCGAGTTCAATTTGACTAATTCGAGTTTAATTTGACTAATTCGAGTTCAATTGTACTAATTCGAGTTCAATTTGACTAATTCGAGTTCAATATGACTAATTCGAGTTTAATTGTACTAATTCGTAATCAATTGTACAAATTCGAGTTCAATTGTACTAATTCGAGTTCAATTGTACTAATTCGAGTTCAATTGTACTAATTTGAGTTCAATTTGACTAATTCGAGTTCAATTATACTAATTCGAGTTTAATTGTACTAATTCGAGTTCAATTGTACTAATTCGAGTTCAATTGTACTAATTCGAGTTCAATTGTACTAA